ATAAATTCCATCAAAATTGAATAAAAATCTTACGAGCAATTTACTTAAGTTTGTCGTGCTTTTTCTTATCTTTTATCAACTTTTCGAAGAATAAGTGATTTAAAAGTTCCGAACTTTGTTTTTCATGTTTAATTATATATTTACATCTTCTATCATTTTTCTCAAACAAATCTTTTTTGAAACTATTGTGTATTTAATCATTCCTTCTACTTCATGGCCAATCTTATTATATCAGTCAGTGCTATTATAAAAAAATCATCGTGCTATAATGTTACTTCAGCTGTATATTATAGTGCTATAATGTTACTTTAGCTGTATATAATAGTGCTATAAAGTTTATTTGGTTCCAGGATTTCCTCCAGAAAAAATATGATATTTTTAGAGAACATTTTTATCAAATCAAAAATTAAATTGAAACTGATTTTTAATTCTGCTTTATTAAAAGGTTTGTTATTCAAAAATATTTCATAAAAACCTTGGAACAAAATTTCATCTTAAAAAGCTTGAACATTCTCGATAACGAGAACATGTCCAAAAACGTAATACTAATCAAAAGTAGATGTTTAATGATTCTGTGCAAACGGAGCTTTGGTTTTTATGTTTATTTTTACCATTATATATAATAATGCCCCCCCCCCACCAAATATTTTTTCTCTCTCTCCCGGTTTATCATTTACAAGTTAAATTAGTGGTTTCAGTTGTTAAAGCCAAGAATTTTTCATACCAATGTTTGATCAATAAATCTGGGCCTAAGAGGGGGAGGGGGGCTATTCATGGCTTTGGTTGAGGTAGGGGAAATCCATTGAAGGGGGGAGGCGGTATTCTATCGTTTTTATAATCTTATATTTTCCTGCAGCAGTCGGTTCATTCATTGTATACAGTGTACACGCGTTACTTCTTTTTACAATAACAAATACTGAAAAATTTTCCGGAAAGAAAACTTCAGAGACTTAAATTTAGGAACGAGTTTTCAAGACAAAAGCGGCCGAGCGCTCCATTTTCTAAAACTCTTGAAATTTCTGTTTTTCCCAAATTTAAACTTTCGGAATCTTTTTCCGAAAATTGTGTTTCCGGAGTTTGTCATCTATAGTTTTTGGTCCATTAACCGTTTTTCCCATGATGTTATTTTTAGTTTGGAGCTAACCGAAGGGAGTCTAAAAAACGTTCAAATTTTATTTTTTTCATTTCTGAGTTCATAGAAATAAACATATTTAAGTTTAAAAATATTCTTTTCCATAAAAAAACCACACTAACTTTTTTCTCCATTTGAAATAAAGCTAATTAACACTGTAAATGATTTGGTTAGAAATTTTGCTTTTTCCACGACATATATAATACATTGTCTTGTGGTCGGCATTCATATCAATACAATGAAGACGGCTTGAACCTAAGTTTTGATTTCAAACAATATTTTTAATATTGAAGGGGGGGGGGGTCCACACAATTACAAACTTGTTCTCCACTTGACATAATGTTGGTGTAAGGTTAAAGTTATAGCGCTAAATAACACTGTAAATGATTTGGTTAGAAATGATCTCCGCTATGCTGACTCCTTCATCATCAATAAGGGAAACCAGGTACAGTCGTCGTTGGATTTATCAATACAGTGAAGACGACTTTCGATTTTGATTTTTGATTTCTGTCAAGCGTTGAAATAGCATGGATATTGGATACAAATAAACATAGAAACAAAAAACTGTATTAACAGCTTGTAAACTTTTAATTTTAAAAAAGTTCGTTAACATCCAAACTTAGAAAAAGAAGTCGTCTTTATTGTATTGAAATAATTGCCAACTACTGTATATAGGATACAGGGTGTACAAATAAATATGGACATTTTAAATATCTGGCGTCTTAAAGAGAGGGAAAGCGTAATTTCGCATGTAGATATTTAAAAGTTTTAAAAAATCGTTATCAATCCATACCCCCCTAAATTTTTTGCGAGTTTTTCCTTTCAAAAATATTTTTACTTTTTAGTCTTAACCTGCAAAATCAATGAGAAAAATCCTTTTACCTAAATTAAAGGAAGTGAATAATGATTTCTTGGAAGTAAAAAATGTACAGAGCTCTTGTATTGTGAATATCGAGATCTGATCTAGATCTTTTGTTAATCTGCAGATTAATTTAATCTTTATTCGATATTCCACATGTTAATCCTAATAACTTAAATGAAGAGATTAACCGACAGAGGATATCAAGATTTAGCAGACTAGCAACCATGTTATGAGTATCCAATTTAAAAGTTAAAAAATAATCTTTTTTGTTTGGTTATTTTCTTGTGGTTGTTAACATTTTTTACATTTTGATGGTTATTATATCGTTAGAACTGACGAGGATCAACCCAGACCGAAATATAATTTCAATAAATGTGGAACTTACATCTACTTTTTTACTCTACAGAGGTTTGGTTCATCACCAAATTTTAAATTTAAAAGTTCCCAGCTCAGATTGTAGTTGACCCGGTACGACATGCTACATTTCCACGAAAGGTTTTTGACTGCATGCATCCGAACAGCCACTTGTTTGATATAATACCCATTCAGAATTACATATTGTCCATATTGTACAATAAATAGGTGAACATGAAGAAAGCTCTAATTCTGGTTCTAACACAGGAATCTAGACATAAAACTAAACTAAAATATAATATTTTTGTTCTAATTAGCTTAAAGGTGGAAAAATATTTTTTTTTTTAATTGGACCATTTTTTTAAGAACAATTTACTGTGAGGCGTTTATATTAGTATAATGAAGACGACTTTTCTATCTAAGTTTTGTTTTCTAACAAGCTTTTTGCAAATTACAAATTTACAAGTAAATGTTTACATGTTTACATGTTTACATGTTTACATATTTACATGTTTACATGTTTACATGTTTACAGGTTTACATGTTTACATATTTACATGTATACATGTTTACATGTTTACATGTTTACATGTTTACATGTTTACATGTTACATGTTTACATGTTTACTTGTTTACATGTTTACACATGTTTACATGTTTACATGTTTACATGTTTACATGTTTACAGGTCTACATGTTTACATATTTACATGTTTACATGTTTACATGTTTACATGTTTACATGTTTACATGTGTACATGTTTACATGTTTACATGTTTACATGTTTACATGTTTACATGTTTACATGTTTACACATGTTTACATGTTTACATGTTTACATGTTTACACATGTTTTCATGTTTACATGTTTACATGTTTACATGTTTACATGTTTACATGTTTACATTGTTTACATGTTTACATGTTTACATGTTTACATGTTTATGTACGTATCAGCTTGCTGTTTGAAAGCTTGGTAAAAATCATAAATTGAAATCTAAAGTCGTTTTCATTGTATTGATATTTACGATGACGACTGTTCTTCACCTAAAACTTTTAAATAGAAGATTTAAAGTACTTAAATCCGTTTTAAGCAATAGATCTAAAATCTTACCATCTCTCTTTGATTTGTCAAAATCTAAAGATATCTTAAAGGATTTAACTAATCCGTTGGATACGGATCAGTACTTTCTAAAGGGATTAACAATATAAAAGTTGCGACCATGTTTGTCTATGATCAGGATGTTCAGTTCAAGCCGGTATCCCAACATAACGGAAATGGTAAGTTTGGGAATCGTTGTTATTTTGTTCTTTTTTAAACATTCCATTTTTTAGAATTAGAGGCAACTGAAATGTTTTATTTTATAAATTGTATTTTATACAAGCAAACTCTCCTTTATAATTGTAGAAGAAACTTTTAAATTAAATAAATTTTACTGGTTTACAATTATTTAAACGTGTACTGTAGTCTTGTAGAGTTGTACTTTTGATTTATTTTTGCATGTTACTTTCATTTACTTTCATTATTCTTTTATCACGAAATCACATTATTTTCTTTTTTTCGTGCTTAAAGCACTTTTAAGTGAAACATATTTAATTCATAATTTTTTTTTTGAATCCATTTTTAAAAATCGGAACTTTTCCGTTGGAATTAATCGGGATTGATCATTGATCTCTACTTACTTATTTATCTAATTCCCCTTCGATATCCCGTTGTGATCATATCCTGCAGGGATATCCTGTGAAGGTCATACTCTTAAGGGATAACCCGATCATTGATCCTCAAATTCAAAAGTGCCCAGATTGAATATCAAGAATAACTAAAATTAACACAAAACTTGAGAATATTGTTTTTAAGGCTTAAAATATCTTATAACTGACTTAATAATAATATTTAACATTTAACATTTTAAACAAACAATGAGCAGTGAAGTTGATAAAGTTGTATTTATGATTAGTTTGAGCTTATTGTAAAAGTCGTGACCTGACACCCAAATCTGAGGAATAAGAAGACGACGATGAAATAAGAAGACGACTATAAAATTAAATAAGAAGACGACTATTAAACTTGTTCTGATTCAAAATTGTCCACAAAACATCTAACACAGTATAATTGTTTAGTGTGCTACAAAAAAAAAACATTTTTCCTAATAAGTTTATTTTCAAGCTACAAGTAAAACAGTTGGCTTTATAACAACATTAATTATTTAATATGCTGAAATGTCGTCTTCCTGTTCCACTGTTTATACGGAACTTACTATTTGACTCTTTTTTAAGAAACTGATTACTCTCCTTTAACTAAATTTCTTTAAACCCTACATCTTTCCAACGTGATGTTTTAAACTATGAATTCTGCCAGATCAAAACAATAAAATTTAGAAAACAAAATGTGCATCATCAAATGGAACAGGTTGGATAGCTAATAGAAAATTAGAGTTTGAGGCAAATAACAGTTTCTGTAAAGATCTTTTCCCTCCGAATTTCATGAATTTCAAGAAGGTTATTTTTTAGCTCAAAGTATCGTCTGTTTAACAAACCAAAATGGTCTGACAAAATATGTTTAAGGTTTTGTTTATAATTTCTAACAAAAAGATTCTAATATTTAACGAATTATAAAAGATTTTTTTTTAATTTGTTTTTTATGTTTTTAGATCGGAGTGTTGGGTTTACAGCCTTTGATATGTCGGGACAAGGGCGGTACAGAAACCTTTGGGAACACTACTATAGGGATTGTCAGGTATACCTTTGGGAACACTACTATAGGGATTGTCAGGTATACCTTTGGGAACATTTCTATAAGGATTGTCAGGTAAACTTTTACGGAACACTACTAGGGATTGTCTGGTATTCATTTGGGAACACTTCTAAAGGGATTGTCTGGTATTCATTTGGGAACACTTCTATATAGGGATGGTCAGGTATACCTTTCCGGAACACTACTTTAGGGATTGTCAGTTGTTCATTTGGGAACATTAATATAGGGATTGTCAGGTAAATTTTTGGAAACACAACAATAGGGATTGTCAGTTATTCATTTGGGAACACTACTATAGGGATTGTAAATAATTCATTTGGGAACACTTCTATAAGGGATTGTCAGGTGTTCATTTGGGAACACTTCTATAGGGATTATTAGGTATACCTTAGGGAACAATATCAAGAGTTGTCAGGTATACCTTTGAAAAAAAAAAAACACTTAAAATTGTCAGGTGTACTGTTCGGAAATTTTCGGGTATACCTTCGAATAAAGAACACTTAAAAATTGTCAGGTATACTGTTGGGAAATCTATAAAAGAAACCTTTGGAAAATCTACTATTGTGACCACAATGAGAACCAGAAAATTGTATGAACGTCATGAAACATAAGATGTTTCAAACTTTAAATTTAATTGTCACGCCGAGGTAGTAGAAACCGTCATTTTATAGCTCAGTCAATAATCAAACCTAAACTGTCTTTAACCTCCTATTGTTTTTTTTTCAGGATTTCCAAAGTCAAATGAAACATTTAATATTTTTGAAATTTTATTAATAACTTAAATTACTTAATACATTAATATCACATAAGTTTACTGATTGTAATACAAAGTGATTTAATCCACTTCCTCTATAGTTGGTCCTTTAGCTCCTTCCCTGGCTTGAGCTCCACAATTATCAGCTCCTCCTACTCCTCCTGCACCCCCTTGTCCATACAGCTTAGATACAATCATCTTCAGACTATTCTCCAGCTCCTTCTGCTTCTCTGTGTACTCCTCCTTCTCTCCAAGCTGATTCCTATCCAACCAGGCCAGGGCAGAGTCCAGTTGATTCTTAGCATCAGAGATATCTGATGCAGAGAGCTTGGTTTTCACTTCATCTTGGTCAAGGGTGGCTTTCATGTTAAATATGTATGCTTCAAGTCCATTCTTAGCAGCAACCCTCTCCTTCTGTGCTTCATCTTCATCCTTGAACTTTTCAGCATCATTGACCATCCTTTCTATCTCCTCCTTGGACAGCCTTCCCTTGTCATTGGTGATTGTGATCTTTTCCTGCTTCCCACTACCCTTCTCAGCAGCAGATACATTTAGGATACCATTAGCATCAATATCAAAAGTAACCTCAATCTGTGGAGTTCCTCGGGGAGCTGGTGGTATACCAGTCAGATCAAACTTACCTAGGAGATGATTATCCTTGGTCATTGTTCTTTCTCCCTCATAAACCTGTATTGTCACAGCTGGTTGGTTATCACTGTATGTTGTGAAGATTTGAGTCTGTTTGGTTGGAATGGTTGTATTTCTCTTGATCAGAGCAGTCATAACTCCTCCAGCAGTTTCAATACCCATGGACAGAGGAGCAACATCAAGAAGCAGCAAATCTCCAACTTCACTGCTCTCATCTCCATTCAGAATAGCAGCTTGCACAGCTGCTCCATATGCAACAGCTTCATCAGGATTGATCGATTTATTTAGCTCCTTACCATTAAAGAAATCCTGAAGGAGTTTCTGAACTTTGGGAATCCTGGTACTACCTCCTACAAGAACCATCTCATCAATAGAGGATTTGTCAAGCTTGGAGTCTCTCAGTGCCTTCTCCACAGGTTCCAAGGTTCCCTTGAACAGGTCAGAACAGAGCTCTTCAAACCTTGCTCTAGTGATTGATGTGTAGAAATCAATTCCTTCAGCAAGAGAATCAATTTCTATATTTGCTTGAGCAGCTGAACTCAAGGTTCTTTTGGCTCTTTCACAAGCAGTTCTCAATCTTCTAAGTGCTCTCTTGTTTCCAGAAATATCCTTCTTATGCTTTCTCTTGAACTCCTGGATAAAGTGCTCAACCATCCTGTTGTCAAAGTCTTCTCCTCCTAGATGAGTATCTCCAGCAGTAGCTTTAACTTCAAATATTCCATCATCTATTGAAAGGATAGAAACATCAAAGGTTCCACCACCAAGATCAAAGATGAGAATATTCTTCTCTCCCTTAGAGCTGCTCTTCTTGTCCAAACCATAAGCAATAGCTGCTGCAGTGGGTTCATTGATAATCCTAGTAATATTTAATCCAGCAATAACTCCAGCATCTTTGGTTGCTTGTCTTTGTGAATCATTAAAGTATGCTGGAACAGTAACAACAGCATCCTTGACCTGATAACCCAGGTATGCTTCAGCAGTCTCCTTCATCTTCACCAGGACCATAGCGCTCACTTCCTCAGGGGTAAACTGTTTGTTCTCATTCTTATACTCCACCTCAAGCTTAGGCTTACCTCCAATGTTCACAACCTTGAAGGGCCAGTGCTTCAAGTCAGCTTTAACTGTGTCATCATCAAACTTCCTGCCAATCAACCTCTTGGCATCAAAGATGGTATTGTTAGGGTTCATGGCAACCTGGTTCTTAGCAGCATCACCAATCAACCTCTCAGTGTCAGTAAATGCAACATAGCTAGGAGTAGTTCTGTTCCCCTGATCATTAGCTATGATTTCCACCTTTCCATGTTGGAAAACTCCTACACAGGAGTAGGTAGTACCAAGATCAATTCCAATAGCAGCGTGTTTCACCATTTTGCTTTAATAGTGTTGAAAATATTTTAACTTTAGTATTAGGTAGCTTTAAGTGTTCAGTTTTAACTGAGCTTAAGTGGTCTGGTGGGAAATCTTATACCAGTAAAGAAATTTCTAGAATATTACAGAAGTTTCAGCAAATCAGTATACGTAAATACCCCAATCCGAATGTTCTGGATTACCTCATTGCCTGTGATTGGTCGAGGAAAAAATGCACGCCTCTGATTGGTCGATGGGTTTGCGGGGCGGGAGGAGGAGACTTACGAACTTTCTCGAATATAAGTTGCGGATAGAAACTTTTTTTGTCTTTTACGTTAAATACTTTTAGAAAATTCTAGATATTTATTAAGATTTCTTTTATGTGGTTGACTCTAGTGACAGACTGAGGATGGTTGTTGCCAAGGATGAATTAGATATGCTCCTACAGGTTAGAACAACTCTTGAGAAATAGTTCACTGCAATCTAGAAAGTAAAAGTTATGACACAAAACCGGTTCAAACTTGTGACCGTGTAGCTTCTCTAGTTTAATTTTAGGAACAACTTTTATTAATTTAATACTACTATACTCAGTTTACAATTTATATTTATTACAAGTTTCCGAAGTATAGAAATTTCTGATATGATCCAAAACGCGCCCAGGCAGTTGCGTTTTTATTTTCCCGCTTCTCAGATTTCTAGGCACCCCCCCCCCAACATATACACCCAAACTAACGTTGAGCCTAAAGTGTATACGCTTCAGGCAAAGCCAGTTAATCAAGTTATTTCTACTTTCATCTCACAACCTTAAGGTCTTAAGTTCCAAATATTACCGCTAGAGTTCTCGCTTCTCACTTAATGAACTTATTAATGAGAGAGAGATATAATGTATTTCTTCCAGTATAAAGATAACATTACAAAATTGCTAAATTGCAAAGTTTGTAAGAATTATATAAATTCAACCTTTTAGAATTTATACAATTTCGTATGAGAGCTCTCCAGTCGGACAGTTCTCATTCTGCATTTTTATCTGAAATATAAGTTTAAAGTTACTATTTCGCCGGATCCAATGGAAGTGAAGTCTTAAAGGCCTTACAGGGCCCGATGAAAACTTGGTGCCGCGCTCTGCTCGTCCACCGCTCCTTCACGAGCTCTCGATTCATTTTGCGCTCACTCGTACCAGGCGCGTTTTAAAGTTCAAAAGGGAATATGCCTGACAATTTTAGATGAAGCTTATGTATCAAAAGTTGCTATACTAAGAGAAACGAATTCGCAGGATTGTAATCCGGCGCAGAAGTTTCAAATGTAAATTTTAGACGTTTTTTTTATTCTTTACTGAATTCACAATTGATGATTTTGTTTATTGCATGTATTACATGTAAAATATTAATATAAATATTAATTATTACCTCATGGTCTCTATATAAGGCAGTGCCCGAATTTAGCGTAGTTTATGTATGTGCTTCGGCACAATTGGCTAATTTACTCGTAGCCAGGGATGAATTAGTGAATTAGTGCCATTGGATGAATAGCCTAATAGGCAGGTTAGATCAAATATTTTCAAATAATCAACTTTTCAAGAATCTTGAGAAGGATACCCTTTAACGCTTTATTGAACAAATCAGATTGAGAGGTTCTTCTGACATATCATTTATTTCATACTGTTTAACAGCTTGATATAATCAAAATTAAAATCAAAAGTTGTCTTCATTCTATTGATATATATGCAATAATAACTGTAACAGTTATTAATATTCAACTCTATAGTTTGGTTTAAAACATGAACATGAAACGCCCCCCCCCCTAGTAAAAAGCCATAGAGAATAGAAATAGGGTACTTAAAATGCATGTTCCTATAAGCCCAATGTTTCAAGGCCAGCTCATTGAAAAAAAAAATTAGAACGATAACGTATGTAGTTTGGGTGCTAGAGAGGGTTGAAAAAAATGCCAAGAAAAGGTTAAAAAATATTTTTTTTGTATGAAACAAATATCAAAGTGTGACACATTACATCCATTTTTCACGGACTTTTAGAAATATAGTTTTTAGATCTGTAGCTTTAGTCATAAAAAAAGTTATGGACTATTTTAGATTTTTTTTTTACACAGACCGGACTTTTTACCGCTCCTGTACACCTAACATATGCATAAAAAAATTTACAAAAAATCCTTTAAATTTCTATTCATTAAAAGTCAATCAATTTCACGGTGATAGTGTCAAAAATATACGTGCTAGTACAAAAGAAGTTTAGAGGGGGGGCCAAACGCCCCCCCCCCCCCGCCTGTTTAATTAGAGTGATATAATGTATTTTCTTCCAGTAATTAAAATAACATTTTATAATTGTAGATGTAAAATTTAGATGTTTTTATTCTTTATTGGATTTACTGCATTTATAGATAAAACTATCAATTCTTTTATCGCATCTGAAGTCAAAACAGTGAATGTCTTATGCTTCGTATTTAGTTTATGTAGGTTATAAAGTGTTTCCGCACAATTGTCCAATTCAATTGAGAAATAAAAGAGAATTCAATTCTTAATTTCATCATGTTTTTTTTAAAAATCCTTTTTTAATTACACTGATTTAAGTCTTTCAAATACACTAATTTAAATCTTTTAAATAAACTAACTTAAGTCTTTCAAATTCACGAATAAGTCTGTATCTTGATTGGACAAGCAGGAGGGAGAAAGTTTAAAATATGAATAAAAAGGAATCATAAGTCTTTGTTGCAAACTCTGATTTTTCAAACGGTATTTCTTTGCAACTCAATGTCGTAAACCTTAGATTTTTCAAACTATGAATTCTGAGCTGACAACTCTTGTATTGGAAACCCTTAATCCTGATTGCCAAATCTCGATATCCACCGCCGACACTTATGATTTTTAGCTTAATCCTCTCTTTGTGATATGTCTTTGGACCAATAAGAGTTCTTTCATTCATTATGCACAAAAACTTGGAAGTTTCTTGGCTTCTGATAGGCTGTTCGGTTTCTACAATCAACACTCTGATTTGTTGCAGTTTAGATAATTTCCCGTTTGTTAACGTAAGATTAAATAAGTCTGAAGATGAATGAAAAGCTGAGCTCAAGCATTGATCTCGATATCCACAATTCTAAAGTTTACAGCTCTGTTCACTTAATCGCATGATCTAAGCTTAATCTGAAATATAAAATATTTATACCATCAGGTTGCAAAGATATATGAGATTGTGAAAAGACTCAATTCACGCAATTCCTTTGTTTGGCATTAAGGATTATTTGACTTCAGCTGTAATTTTCTAATCACTATATCTTTGAAACATGAGGATGTAATTCTTTGACATTTTAAACTGCTGACATGGAAGACTGTATGGTTGTAGCTTATGACTGCCGGAAGACAAAAAAGCTAATATGTGGCATGGAAGGGAAAAATGGCTTGGCCGCCTGTCTTCCCCCGCTCCCAGGCTTTCCCCTCATGTTTTACCAACTTAATAAACCTACAAACGCCTTTTTCAGAATAAATACATCAAATCAGCTGATTTTTATTTTCCCACTTGTCAGCTTTCTATTATACAACCCAACCTTTTGCATCATGTTAATTTATGTCTGGATGTTATGATTTGATTGTTTACTATATGTTTCCCAGTCTAGAAATACAACTTACAACTGTCTAAAAGTTCCAAATAGTTATCTCGACTCTATAAGCAAACTTTATAAAAAAAAAGGAATGTTTTTTTTCAGTTAAAAATGACAGCAAAATTGTAAATTTCGAAAAGATATTTTTTAAACTTCATTAGCTTTACTGTTGATTATTATTTTTTTTGCATTTATAATAATATATGTAGTAACATCTGCCATCCATCTCTGATAAACATTCATCTACAGTAATATCTATTTATTTATGCAATGTTTCGGCACACCGCAAAATTGGCCAATTTAAACGGAGGGGACCGAGCGCTGCGACTAGAACAGGGTAGGGGGCCGCGCGCTGCAGCTAGGACATCATTAGGAGCTTGCTGCTTGGGAAATATTTGGGAAGTTGCCACTTGGGAAAATGCCTTTGGGAAAATACCTATCATCGTAAGAAATATCATTGAATAGAAGTCGAAAAACCAAAACTTATTTTTTTAAACCCAGCTAATCTAATCAATATATTTGAGGGGTTCCTGAGTCATACAAACATAGTGATACCCAAACAACATAGATTAATGCTTTAGAAATATAGATTTTGGTGTTGCTTGGCACAACTTAATTAAATTTTATTTCAGCATCCTGAGATCCAGGCTAGAAGATTACCAATCCTATTCTTTGCAAACAAAATGGACATGAGAGATTCTATGTCGAGCGTTAAAGTTTCTCAGACCCTTGGTAAATAAATAATGATAATGATAATGATAATATGATAATGATAATGATAATGATAATGATAATGATAATATGATAATGATAATGATAATATGATAATGATAATGATAATGATAATATGATAATGATAATGATAATATGATAATGATAATGATAATGATAATGATAATATGATAATATGATAATAATAATAATTGTAATATTTAAGGATAATATAAAAATGATCATGATCAGTATTTTTATTTATATTTTATTTATGAAGTAACAATTATTATAATAAAAATGAGTTTTTGCCCCAACCTTTGGAATCTGATGGTGTAAATCTTAAATATTTTAAACTTAAACTATTTGTTCCAACATAATTCATTGTTTAAAATAAAAGACGTCTACGACATCGGGTTGCAAAAAAATAAAGCAGTAAAAGAAAAACTCCATGTAAGAAAAAACAAAAAATAAATATATAGATAAATAAAAAAGCTGTTTAAATGAATTCATTAATAAATGAAGAAAGGAATAAAAGAATTAATATACAAATGATTAAAGAAAGTAATGAATAAATGAGAAGAAAGTTATAAATGAATAAATAAATAAACGATTTAATAAATAAATGAATAAATGAATTCATGAATTTATACGAATTTATGAATAAATGAATAAAATAAAATATTAATGAATAAATTAAAAAATGAATTTACTAATGGAGTGGAGTGTATTCTGCATATTTGCACTAGTAACGCATACATAAAAAGATAAATGAATAGATAGGTGAATAGGTGAATGAATATACGAAAGGATGAATGAATGAAATACATCTGAATTTACTAGGATTGGAGCGTATTCTGGATAAGCCCTGGCATATATGCGCTAGTAATGCAATTACTGGAGAAGGACTCCAGGAGGGGGTATACTCTCAGATCCGTGAAACAAAAACTCTTTTTGCCAAAGGAATTGAGTCTTTGCAACAAATCCCAATTTTCTAATACCTATATATCTACAACCCAATTATGTAAACCTTAGATATTTCAAACTTTGATTATTTGAAATATCTAAGGTCTACAACATTGGGTTGTTAAGATATAGGGATTTAAAAACCAGAGTTTGTGGCAAAGACTCAATTCCTTTTCGGTTTATTTAACCATCTTCAGGGCATATTCTAAAAAACATACAAAATAAGAAACTTGAATAATAAATGTTTAAGATTTAAAAGAATTAAAAGATAAAAGTAACAATATATAAACGAAAACAAATAAACAGATTTCAAATGTGATACCTTCCTTTAACTCGACCAAAGATTAACTGAATATGAATTTGAATTTTGAGTTTATATCTATATTTATATCTATATATATATAGATATATACATCTATATCTATATATATCTCAATATCAATATCTATATCTATATCTATATCTATATCTGTATTTACATCTGCATCTATATCTAGGTATATCTAAATCTATCTATACACCATTCATATTTATATATATCAATATCTATATGTATGTCAGAAAAGAAGTATTTAACACTTGACTTTTTATTGTATCTATTTTATATAAATATATATCTATTTCTATATCTATATTAATATGTATATTTAGGCCAGATCAAGGATGGATTGGACGGTAAAAGATGAAAAGAAAAATATTTTTAAACTGTTTTTTTTTCTCAATTGTGTTTCATCTATTTAGTGAACCTATAAAGTATTCTATTCTTTTCTGTGTAGTAAAATAAACTTTAAAAATGTGTTATCTTGGATATAAAGAAAAGTTAAAGCTCTGATGAGAATAATAAAATAAATCACGGCAAACTAAAGTTAATTACACGTTTTTCAATATCAATGTTTTGAATTTTAAATATGTAACAAAATATATTTTTTAATTCTAATTCTATGCGCAAAAACAAAACTAGTTGGTTTGTTTTTAAGATCTTTAAATAAAACTCAAAGATTACAAAAATTTCAGTGTGAAGTAGTGAAACTAGATGTATAGGAGATGCAACTTATGTCCATATAAGTTGATGAATCAGTATCAATTTTATTGTGTTTTCATCATTATTCTAATTTTAACAATAATATACTATAATATTTGATTTACAGCTAAAATGTTCTTTGACCTTAGTCTTTTTTTAACATTGTGAAATAACTCTTGTTGTAAAATGGTAGTGTTCTAGAATATTCTAGAAAATTTATCTACAAATCTCCGCCGCAATATCTCTCGACCAATGAGAGGCCAACTCTACTTCAACGACCAATTAGAGAAGAGCAAATATTCTAGAAAATTCTTCACGGGCAGTTAATGCACTAGGAGTATTTGATAATATTCTAGAAAATTCTTCTTGAGTATATAAAGACACAACGTTATTCTACGATCAGTTTAAATCTAAAACTTGCGAAAACAATACAAGGAAGTTTTACACTACTGCTAGAATATAAAATGGTGAAACACGCTGCTATTGGAATTGATCTTGGTACTACCTACTCCTGTGTAGGAGTTTTCCAACATGGAAAGGTGGAAATCATCGCTAATGATCAGGGGAACAGAACCACTCCTAGCTATGTTGCATTTACTGACACTGAGAGGTTGATCGGTGATGCTGCTAAGAACCAGGTTGCCATGAACCCTAACAATACCATCTTTGATGCCAAGAGGTTGATTGGCAGGAAGTTTGATGATGACACTGTTAAAGCTGACTTGAAGCACTGGCCCTTCAAGGTTGTGAACATTGGAGGTAAGCCTAAGCTTGAGGTGGAGTATAAGAATGAGAACAAACAGTTTACCCCTGAGGAAGTGAGCGCTATGGTCCTGGTGAAGATGAAGGAGACTGCTGAAGCATACCTGGGTTATCAGGTCAAGGATGCTGTTGTTACTGTTCCAGCATACTTTAATGATTCACAAAGACAAGCAACCAAAGATGCTGGAGTTATTGCTGGATTAAATATTACTAGGATTATCAATGAACCCACCGCAGCAGCTATTGCTTATGGTTTAGACAAGAAGAGCAGCTCCAAGGGTGAGAAGAATATTTTAATCTTTGATCTTGGTGGTGGAACCTTTGATGTTTCCATCCTTTCAATAGATGATGGAATATTTGAAGTTAAAGCTACTGCTGGCGATACTCATCTAGGAGGAGAAGACTTTGACAACAGGATGGTTGAGCACTTTATCCAGGAGTTCAAGAGAAAGCATAAGAAGGATATTTCTGGAAACAAGAGAGCACTTAGAAGATTGAGAACTGCTTGTGAAAGAGCTAAGAGAACCTTGAGTTCAGCTGCTCAAGCAAATATAGAAATTGATTCTCTTGCTGAAGGAATTGATTTCTACACATCGATCACTAGAGCAAGGTTTGAAGAGCTCTGTTCTGACCTGTTCAAGGGAACCTTGGAACCTGTGGAGAAGGCACTGAGAGACTCCAAGCTTGACAAATCCTCCATTGATGAGATGGTTCTTGTAGGAGGTAGTACCAGGATTCCTAAAGTTCAGAAACTCCTTCAGGATTTCTTTAATGGTAAGGAGCTAAATAAATCGATCAATCCTGATGAAGCTGTTGCATATGGAGCAGCTGTGCAAGCTGCTATTCTGAATGGAGATGAGAGCAGTGAAGTTGGAGATTTGCTGCTTCTTGATGTTGCTCCTCTGTCCATGGGTATTGAAACTGCTGGAGGAGTTATGACTGCTCTGATCAAGAGAAATACAACCATTCCAACCAAACAGACTCAAATCTTCACAACATACAGTGATAATCAACCAGCTGTGACAATACAGGTTTATGAGGGAGAAAGAACAATGACCAAGGATAATCATCTCCTGGGTAAGTTTGATCTGACTGGTATACCACCAGCACCCCGAGGAACTCCACAGATTGAGGTTACCTTTGATGTTGATGCTAATGGTATCCTAAATGTATCTGCTGCTGAGAAGGGTAGTGGGAAGCAGGAAAAGATCACAATCACCAATGATAAGGGAAGGCTGTCCAAGGAGGAGATAGAAAGGATGGTCAATGATGCTGAAAAGTTCAAGGATGAAGATGAAGCACAGAAGGAGAGGGTTGCTGCTAAGAATGGACTTGAAGCATACATATTTAACATGAAAGCCTCCTTTGACCAAGATGAAGTGAAAACCAAGCTCTCTGCATCAGATATCTCTGATGCTAAGAATCAACTGGACTCTGCCCTGGCCTGGTTGGATAGGAATCAGCTTGGAGAGAAGGAAGAGTACACAGAGAAGCAGAAGGAGCTGGAGAATAGTCTGAAGATGATTGTATCTAAGCTGTACGGACAGGGGGGTGCAGGAGGAGTAGGAGGAGCTGATAGTTGTGGAGCTCAAGCAAGACAAGGAGCTAAAGAACCAACTATAGAGGAAGTAGATTAAATTACTGTATTTAGAGGCAGTCGATTAAATTACCAAATTATAGATCTCGCTGTATATTACCAATAAATTTATGTGCTATTAATGTATTATGGAATTAAAATTATTCTAAATAAATGTTAAAAAAACTTTCATGTTTTGTCTGTTTAATAAAAAATCTAAATCATAAAACATAAAAAGTTTAAATAATCAATACCTGCTTGTTAAATTTATTAGCTTGAATTTATTGTTTAAAAACAGTTCCTTTAATATTTTTTATTTTTTATTTTACCAATTATACAGGATCCAAAAAACTGTGGTAGAAAATATAATAATTAATTTTTTGCATTTGATGAAGCTTAAAGGGAGTTTTCGCGAAAAATGAATGGGGGTATAGGCTTAATGCCATAAAAAAGCGCTTTTGATCGCTACTAATCTTACTTTTATCTGTTGCGTATATAAGGAGAAAATTGTTAAGAACGACTCACACCGAAAAACGTAGTGTCCATACAAATTCAGAAAGATGCAATATTCAACTCGGATCGTAAACAAATCAATTTAATTCCAAACAAATCATTCAGATATTACAAACAATAGTCCTCGATTATTTTTTGACGCATTCGTAAATAGTTGATATTTCATAATATTTTGTGTTTTTCATGATCTGAGAGTTACTATTGAAAACATTAATTTCTGTTTCGAGGATTTTTGATAATGAAGACGACATTTTTTTTTTCCAGGAATGTTCAAAAAGCCAGCGCCAGCGAAAATTATTTTTTAAAAAACAAAATCAAAAATATTATGAAATATTAACTATATACGAATGCGTCGAAAATATTCGATGACTACTGTTTGTAATATCTGAATGATTTGTTTGTAATTAAATTAAAGCGCTTTTTTATCGCATTAAGCCTATACCCCCTTTCATTTTTCGCGAACACTCCCTTTAAAGCAAAAAATTTGTACCAAACTTGTCAATTAAAATATTGAGGAAACTGGGTCAGTGTACAATGCACAATTGATGTGTTTCAAGTTCATTAAAGTATTCATTGAACATTGTAACATTTCTATTGCTTCAAATTGCAAAATTACTATCAATTGGTACACATTAAATACACACGATAACCTGGATTAAACATTATATATTTCAATGTACTTTTATTATGTTGGGTTGATTTAAATGTTAAAATTCTATTAAAGAACTTTAGCATTGTGTTCTTAATATAGAACTATCATAAGTATTTCTAAACTACAAACATTTCGCTAGAAATTACAAAATATTTGGTTTGGTTTGGTTTGAAAAAATTGTGTACTGGACAGTACTGTACTGGACAGTACTGTACTGGACAGTACTGTACTGGACAGACTTTGAGGCTTTCAGTGTTTCGTACAGTCTAATTCAATTTATATCAGTAGTTACTGGACCGGCAGGTAGTGCAAAAATTGTTATAACAATGTGAACAGGAAGCACAATCTAGGTCATCTAAGCATTCTGCGCATTGCAGTACGTTGCAGTTGTTTCTTCTTCCTCCCAGGAAACCTAGATTAAAACTGACTAAAATGTCGTCTTCCTATTTCAGAGGTTTATGGGTCTCACTCTGTATTTAAATGTTCATTTAAAGGGAGTGTTCGCGAAAAATGAAAGGGGGTATAGGCTTAATGCGATGAAAAAGCGCTTTTGATCGCTACTAATCTTACTTCTATCTGTTGCGTCTATAAGGAGAAACTTGTTAAAGACGTCTCATACCAAATAACTCAGCGCCCATACAAATTGAGAAAATTGTAACATACGACTTAGACCGTAAAAAATCAATTTAATTAAAAACAAATCATTCAGATATTACAACCTATAGTCATCGATTATCTTTCGCCACATTTATTAAGAGTTTATATTTTATAATATTTTTTGATTAATTTGTTTTTAATTTGATTATTTCTCTTGCGGCTTGCGCAACTATCTAAGAATGCCGCGGACCACTCACATTTTTCGAAATCAGTTAAAACGTTTTCTAATAATATAAAATATTGTAAAATATAAACTATATACAAATATGGCGAAAGATAATCAATGACTATAGGTTGTACTATCTGAATGATTTGTTTGAAATTAAATGGATTTTTTACGGTCTAAGTCGTATGTTGCAATTTTCTCAATTTGTATGGGCGCTAAGTTATTCGGTATGAGACGTCTTTAACAAGTTTCTCCTTATAGACGCAACAGATAGAAGTCAGATTAGTAGCGATCAAAAGCGCTTTTTTATCGCATTAAGCCTATACCCCCTTTCATTTTTCGCGAACACTCCCTTTAATGAATTTGAAAAAAATGTTTTATCAACTTACTTCCTATCTGACATAATGCATCCTGTTTTGTCATACATCTGAAAAAAAAGATTACTTACAGGGTGTCCCACGAAACATGACAGTTTGTGAATAGTTTTGAATGTCTTCTTCCATATACTGTATTAGATACTATAGACTTTTTGCAGTTCATTTAGTTAAAAAAAAATCTTCTACTCAAATATATTTTACTTTGAAATCAATTTTTCTATAATATGGCTGGCATGAAAATTTTTATATTATTCTCTTGGGGTTCAAACAACTTAACAAATATGGAAGAAGACATTTTAAACTTTTCACCAACTGTCATGTTTCGATGTTTCGATGTTTCGATGTTTCATTTATTACAAAGAATGTGTACTTAAAAAGAAAGTGTGTAATATATAAATATATATATGATATCCAAGGGAATATAATTAAAAGATTACGAACAAGAAGAAAATAAAAAAAATTGTAAAAAATTTAAAATTTTAAAATAAAAATGTAAAAAAGTATCCAAGGGTAACTTTTTTGGTGTCAAAATTGGTCTTATCTTTGAAGTAAGCATACTATCACATTTTGGGCTTTATCATCAAAATTCAGCTGGGGAAAAGGTCCAAAAAAAGTTACCTTCCGCCGGATGAAACTTCCCCAAGTCCGAATATAGGCAATCGTATGAAACCGATTAGTGCAGAACTTCTCCTAAAAAAATATTAAAGGGACTGTAAGCATACTTTCAAGTGGCCCTCCATGTAAGAAGGACAATGCTCGATTCACAATGGTACCCTTGAAACCTTTATCTGATCAAAAATATGGAAAATATTGTCTTTTTTTGCGGTTTAAAAGTATTTAATCAAGTATATAGTACTTTGGTAGGGAAACCACAATTGAAAATAATCAGTTTTTAAAATTATAAAATCTATTTTACATTGATCTTCAAGCAAAGCTTTCAAGGGTACCGTTGTCAATCGGGCATTGTCATCTTTGCATGGAGGGTTACTTTAATGTTACTTCAGATTTTTCTTTATCATCTTTTTATCTTATTTGACTTATTTAATCCTTTCAAGGGACTGTTGGCGTAATCTCAAGTGACCCTCCATTTGTATAGAGTAGCGTGTCCAATTTAGGACTTTTTAACTTTTAACTGGACTTTTCTTTTAAAGGGAGTGACCGGCAATCTAAAGTAGTTGAACTGAGAATGTAGTATTGTGGATAAATTTTTTAGGATTCATTTGAGATATATAAAACTTTTGAAGATGTATAATTTCTGAGTTTGGGCGCAGAGTTGACGTTCAAACTCGTTCATTTGGGTGGATACGTTTTAAGTATCCATTTTTTTAAATTATTAAATAAAGACGAAGAATAAATATCTTCCAAGAAATGTATCCAAAGAGTGAATATCTTCCAGGAAATGTATCCAAAGAATAAATATCTACTAAGAAATGTATCCAAAGAATAAATATCCACCAAGAAATTAATCCAAAGAATAAATATCTTTCAGAAAATGTATTCAAAGAATAAATATTTTCCAATAAATGTATCGAAAGAACAAATATTCACCACGAAATGTATCCAAAGAATAAATATCTACCAAGAAATGTATCCAAAGAAGAAATTTCTACCAGGAAATGTTCCAAAGAATAAATATCTACAAGGAAATGTATCCAAAGAATAAATATCTACCAAGAAACGTACCCAAAGAAAAAATATCCACCAAAAAATGTATCCAAAGAATAAATATCTTCCAGAAAATGTATCCAAAGAATTAATATCCACCAAGAAATGTATCCAAAGAATAAATATCCACCAAGAAATGTATCCAAAGAATAAATATCTTCCAGAAAATGTATCCAAAGAATTAATATCCACCAAGAAATGTATCCAAAGAACAAATATCCACCACGAAATGTATCCAAAGAATAAATATCTTCAAGGAAATGTATCCAAAGAATAAATATCCACCAAGAAATATATTTAAAGAATAAATATCCACCAAGAAACGTATACAAGGAATAAATATCCACCAAGAAATGTATCCAAAGAATAAATATCTTCCAGGAAATGTATCCAAAGAATAAATATCCACCAAGAAATATATTTAAAGAATAAATATCCACCAAGAAACGTATACAAGGAATAAATATCCACCAAGAAATGTATCCAAAGAATAAATATCTTCCAGGAAATGTATCCAAAGAATAAATATCCACCAAGAAATATATTTAAAGAATAAATATCCACCAAGAAAAGTATCCAAAGAATAAATATCTTCCAGGAAATGTATCCAAAGAATAAATATCCACCAAGAAATATATTTAAAGAATAAATATCCACCAAGAAAAGTATCCAAAGAATAAATATCTTCCAGGAAATGTATCCAAAGAATAAATATCCACCAAGAAATATATTTAAAGAATAAATATCCACCAAGAAAAGTATCCAAAGAATAAATATCTTCCAGGAAATGTATCCAAAGAATAAATATCCACCAAGAAATATATTTAAAGAATAAATATCCACCAAGAAAAGTATCCAAAGAATAAATATCTTCCAGGAAATGTATCCAAAGAATAAATATCCACCAAGAAATATATTTAAAGAATAAATATCCACCAAGAAAAGTATCCAAAGAATAAATATCTTCCAGGAAATGTATCCAAAGAATAAATATCCACCAAGAAATATATTTAAAGAATAAATATCCACCAAGAAAAGTATCCAAAGAATAAATATCTTCCAGGAAATGTATCCAAAGAATAAATATCCACCAAGAAATATANTTCATTTCTTATTCATTTCTTATTCATTTCTTATTCATTTCTTATTCATTTCTTATTTATTTCTTATTCGAATTTCTTTTCCATTTCTTATGCTTTTCTTATTCATTTCTGATGAATTAGATGATTAGTTTCTGAAAAAAAATTGCAAAAACTGAATCAAACGTATTTGATAAATAATCATTATTTGTGTTGAAGCAAAAAAAGAAACAAAACCAAAATCTATATTGAACCAAAAACATTTTTTCGGTTTTGCAACAATTTAAAAAAAAATTTATTCAAAACGTTTCGTTTTCAAAATTAAAGAAAAAAATTTCCGTTTAAAAAACATTTTTGCTAAGCCCTGAAAAAAATCAACATTCTTTTCTCATAGTTTTTCTATATATTATAATTATATAAGTAGATACTATATTTTATATAAGTTGTATAACGTACCCGAAAAAAGCTGACGAAAAGTCAGCAAGAAGAAAAATGCAAATGAAAACTAAATACTTCATGTTGGAAACCATGGAACCAGACTGAGGATTTTGAAGAGTTCTTTTCTATATTATAGAACACAGTCAGAGAGATGAGTATAAGGCCTTAGGCTATATAGTACATGAGAATGGCATCCAGATTTATCTAGTATAGGTTAGTATATTTTGGAGTAGTAGTAGAGTATCAGGGGGGGGGGG